TTTGGAATTGTAGCCGTAAGCACAGTCAGGGTTGGTTTTGCTGTGCTGTAACTAGTGGTCCAACCACCTCGGTCTGCTTGCTTTTGCAGGATGGCAGAGTGTTCATCTGGACATGTGATGATGCCTCTGGAAATTCATGGTCACCAAAGCTGCTGCACAAGTTCAATGATGTTGTCTGGCATGTGAGCTGGTCCATTACTGCAAATATTCTTGCAGTGTCTGGAGGAGACAATAAAGTGAGTATTGCGGCCTTGGCTTTTACTCCTGCATGCCATGTTTTCCGAAGAGCTGAGATAGGCTGTTGTCAGTTTTGCTGAAGTTAAGACTGTTGTAGATTGCCTTTGCTGTCACAGTGAATTTTTTTTTTGTTTTATCAAAAGGGGAAGAAGACCCTAACCTTTGGCAAACTACTTGCACTGCATTCTTAGTCCTTACTGGACACCAGAAATGCAGGCTTAACTTTATTTTGTAGGGTACCAACAGCAGACTTTACATACTCTGCCTTTACCACTGGGTGATTATTTAGTATACGGCAACAAATAACTTGACGTCTGTAACTGTAGACTGTCACCAAACTAGTGACGTGATGGTTGCAAAGAAATGGGAAACTGAGAATGTGTTAAGGCTGAAACTTCTTCCTAATCTGTTTTTGAGGTCACGCTATGGAAGGAATCCGTAGACGGACTGTGGGCATGTATCAGCGATGTCAACAAGGGCCAAGGAGGGGTGTCTGCCGTTACAGAGGGGCAGCAGAATGAGCAGTGATGCACGAGCGAATGTTCCAGCTGCAACAAGTGATCACTATACCTGATTTGCAATGTTTCTTGAACCGGATGAGAACTGATTTTATCTAAACTGGACACAAACATGGGAAACAACAATTAAACAATTTTATGAGCACTCTGTAACTATTACTGGGAGGCTACAATATGTTGATAATCAAGCTTAATTGACATTCCCTTAAATTGAAGGTAAAGAGCATAGCAAAGTACTGTGCCTTATACTACTCCTTGATGCTGTAGAAATTGTACCCTGCTTTAGGGATCAAATTTAATTGGATATGCTGTGGTCAGACTTCAAGCACTTGAGTAGGAACAGGAGGAAGCTATCTTAGTGGTGAGGTGTGAACTCCTTTGTGCAAGGGGACAAATATTCTGTCCCTTCAAAAGCCAGAACTTTGTTTCAGGTGAGGGGAAGGGCTGGTGGAGTTTTCAGCATTAGATGACAGCGTGCCCACTAGCCCTTCTGGTAGTAGTGAAGTGGTGCTTAGGTCTTCCTGAAAATAGTGTGCTTGGAGAGGTGGAAGTCTCTGTGCTTTCCTGAAGATGGAAAGGAGTAGTGGAGTGCATATGTCTCTTGCTTTACAGTAATCTCAAAGTTGGTTATTTAACCAACATCAGTAAATCAAACCATAATTTGAAGATTTTTTTTTTCAGCCACACTTCTGTACTGTACCTCAGGTTTTTCTTTGTTGAGATACCAACAGAATAAAGTCCTATTGGTTAAAGCCTGGTGTGCTGTGTTTAATAACCTTTCACAGGGGCCTTGTCGGGGCTGTCTACACTCCACCTTCAGCCAAGCCACGGTCATGTTGTCCTCCCATCCATGGTATTGGCTTTGTAATAGCTGGAAAGGTATTGGTCCAATGGAGACTAACACTGTACATAGTGTACAAAAGAACAAATTTTTGCCTTCAGTTAAACTTATGTGCTATTACACTTCAGGCAAGTATATTAGGCTCAAATAAACCAGATTTTAGTATACCTTCAGCTAAAAGCTGAAGCACTCTTCCCCTCCAAGAGAAAAAGTACGTAAAGGTCATATTTTCCCTTTATGCTGCAGTTGCACTCAAGCAACACAAGTGAACAATTCACAGCCTTCCTCCTTCTCCAAGGCAGTGCTTCCTAGGCACAGTCTTTGTTTTGGCACAGTCGAGATAACAATCACAAAATGAAGTTTGTTTTTCTAGGAAAGGGCTATGTTATCTATACTAGCCAAATAATAGCCTAGTTGCTCTCACAGGTAATTCATGTATGTATTTCTTTCTGTATACCAACACAAGTATGCAACATTCCTGTTCTTGCTTAAATGCACTGTAGCCTTACCCAAAAAAAATGAATCAACTCACCTAGAAGTTAGCATTACATCCAAACAGTTCCAATTCAAACTGTACAGCAAAGCACTGTTTGCTTTCTGTTTTCCATTTCTACTAAGATCGTGATCATAACTGCTAAGTTGAACAGGCAGCCTTTCATTCCCAGTACTATACCCACTTGTTCTTTGGTACAGAGTACCTGGTAATCTAAGAGGGTTTGGGGCTGGCTTTACTGTGGAAACTATACAAACTTGAAAGCAAGCACATTACCTCCAATAAAAAGGCTCAAAAGTGAAACCTCATTCTTAGTTATATTTCATTCTAAGGATAAAGAGCACTAACTCTGTAAGTACATAAGAGAAGTTTTTGCCTGTGGGGGTATTAGGTTCCACAATTCATCCTCTTAAAAGTTATCCTTCTATTTTATGAGTTTTAATACTTAACGATTCAAATGTACTTAGCAGCAAGGCCCAGTTCAGCCTGTTATCCCTTTGTACTTGAAATGTATTACAATTGTTTCAAATAATGATCAAAGTATCTCCACCAATTACAACTGATAGAAGGTTATTTAAGAGTTACACAGTTTATTCATTGCAAATACAAGCATTTGGTGAAAGTTTTTCAGTTGCTCTTGAGAATAGGCTTCATGGGTTTGGATGTCTAATCCCTTCCTTTTCATACTTGGGGTCAGGATTGGGGAAAAGAGAGAGAGAAAAAGAACATACTCAAGTTTCACACTGAAGAACTTAGAATTGCTGCTTGGCCTGATGAACACCAACGTGGTCTCTCCTATACACCCAGCACACCATCATTCTTCTCTTTCACTATCTAGCCTGAGAAGAAAAGTTTGTCTTGTGATGACTGAAAGGAGCTTCCACATAAGAAAGAGTTCTATCATTCAATCTGCATTGTTAAGTTTATCAAGTTTCTGGCATGTCTCCTACTAATACACTGGTAACTAGGCTGTATTTAATGGCAAATGTGGTCACTTGAGACTCAGAAAACAAAAACCACAGGAGTTACCACAGCCTCTCTAAATTCATATCCTACACTTCTATTTTCCTCACTACTTTGGAGTGCTGACAGGCCTTATTAAAGCAGAAGATGCTGATCCAAAGACCAAGCTCCTGGAAGCTCCAGGGGACACATCCTCCTGTCATGCTGGGAATCCAGGAATAGCTTGACTCTGGGGCCAGCCCAGAACAAAACACAGCATGCTATGAAAATGCAAGGGGCTTCTGCTTCCGTATTGTTTCTGGTAGGATCCAGAAGCTCTGCCTCCTTTCTTTGTGCTATTGGGTATTTTTATTAACAAGCCCTCAGATAAAAGCCAGGATGAAGATGAACTCTATCAGAGTCTCTTAGCTGAGCTTTGTTGCTAGAGGCGATTTTGACTCACCAATGCCATTTGTTTTCAGCTCCCTTATCGCAGTTACTGGCTTCCTGAGTTCTACCAATTCAGCTGATACCAGACACATTTAAGAACTGATTTTCTTTTAGTATTTGGATTATTTCACAGCATGAGTGCACAATGTTTGAAATAATCAAGCAGAAAGCCACAATGAGACACGTAAAGAGGAAAGCTCTTAAATCATGCTTGCAGAAGAAAACAAAATGGGACTCTATCCCCAAATAAAACTAGTTTTCCAACTCCACAGACATGCTAAAGATACAGAGTCTTACCTGGCCAGAACACAGTTAAGAGGGTTGTAAATGGCTCCATGTTACATTTTCTCTAACAGCAAATTTAGCAAAATTCCTCCTCATCTTCCCATCTTTGCACATTTCCCATGCCTACCTCAGCCCTACTACAGGAAGTTTGTGGGGCTGCAGTGTAAAATGGATCCTACAAATAAGCTATGGCACTCAAGTTAAAGTAGAATACAAGCAACAGAAGTTGCAAATTCGTCATCCTTCATCACATATTCCTTCTTTCTCACATTGAAAAAAAAAAAAAAAAAAAATTCCCCGATTTCTCATCATGGGATTTTTCTAGACCTCAGCCATTGCTACTGATCTTCACTGCAGTTTTAAAAATTTGTTAATATTCCATTTTTAGAGTAATGGAAGCCAAGTTTCCTAGGTATCATTTTCAGTTCAGCCTTCCAGCAAAAGACAAGAAAATCTGATAAAACAGATGCTGGGAGAGAATACAGGAGAGAGGGAATGCACTTAAAGGCAAAAATGAGAAACTGTCACCACAGGTCAGGAATAAACCTCAACTTCTCCATTTTGGTTACACCACCTCAGATAATAAGGGTTTGGGGGTTTTCCTTTTTGAAAAATACATGTTACAGCTATTAATTAAAAGGAACAATGTTAATACTGCAGGAAAAAAGGAAACTCTCACTTCATTCCCCACACAATTTCATTATACATAAGAATACGCACAGCAACAGATCTATGTACTGTTTTCAGTTTTCTGTTGATTTTGTTACCTTACAAGCAGGCCAAGTTTCCAAGGAATTTAAATACATGTCAGATTGCATTTCCAGGAACACTGTAGCACAGAACAAGTATTCCACTCAATATATAAAGTGCTTCAGAAAGAAGCTGTTTGGTGAAGCCACGAAACTAACCAGGTAAAGTTTCACAGCATTTTCAGCTTTTGCTGGTTTTCCTGTGTAATTCCTCTCCACTAACCTGCCTGTTCCAGTTACTATATCTTAGTTATAGAAGAAAACGCTGTAAGCAATAATCTCTTTTGGACAGGATATTTTTACCTTTAGCACATAAAAATTATGTTTGCTTTATACATCCATCTGTAGAAACAATTTCAAATCATTCAGGTCAGGAGAAAGATTTTCACTGGATCGCGATTCAATTGTATACAGAGACTGAAAAATATGTTTAACTTTTCAACCTATGCTTTCAGGTTTGACAACCCTGCCTCATGAAGATAATCATGTTTCTCAGAGGTACTCTGCTGGGGATTATTCTTTACAGCATCCTCTGGACAGAAACTACTCAGGCTGGCTCTAGCTTCTTAAGCCCTGAATATAAAAAAGCACAGGTAAAAAAAAACACCAAACCAAAAACCAAAAAAAACTTTCTCAAGATCGTCCTCATCTGTAAGTCCTTAAAATCAATATTCTTCAATATTTTCTGGAAGAGGAAGGAGTTATTCCAGAGAACTTCTGTAATAAACCATTAGCATTGTAGTCATGCTGTGAGAATATGTATCTAATCTCATTCACTAAGAATTAATAATCTGAAAAAAAGAATAATTTAAGAAAAAGCACTCCTTTAAATAATTTGTTGGCATCTTCTTTGGAAATTAACTGTAAGGTGCTTGTTCTTTAAGAAACCCTTAAACCAAATTCCTATTGAAATACATGCAGCAATGGTAGTAAAATTACCATAAACCTCTGTATCATACATACATAAGTGTACAATGCCTTCAGCTAATTTGCTGCATCTGTGTTAATTATGGGTTCTAATTTCCCCATTACAGACTCATTTAATTATGGAAAGAATATATAGATGTTATTTCGTTTGCTTTCTAGCAACAAAGGGACCAAAAAAGCCCCAGACCACAATTACAACGTCGAGGCACAGAAGGCTTTTGGGCTACATAGGAAGCAGAGGCAGAAGATGACAGTAACAGTATTGAAATTAAGGTTTGTACTTTCTCTTCTTGCTCACATACAAGTTTAAGTGGTAGGGTTGGGTAATACAATTTCCGTCACAGGAGGCAGTACAAATTAAAACCACATCATTTTTAACTTGAAAGGCAAGTGGGAAAGGGCCCATGAAAACTGCCAGCATTGATGGTATGAAATGATTTAAAATTAGCAGCAGTAATTCAGATCACGGTCTCCTCTTTAGGACTCACATTTCAGAACCGACATATGATAATGCAAGTTTCTTATAAAGTTTTCTTTCTCCAGTTTATTGTGCAGTTTGGTCTGCGGTAGTTATACACCCTGTTTCTGAGATTTTGATTACGTCTCAGCACTAATAAGCTAATAGATGGAAGAACTTTTTGTACCTCTTGCTTATCATCATTCCCATGAATAAAATTAATTTGCAGTGTCCTTGTCCAGAAATTGTTTGTTAAGTCTGTCTTTTAATGTTTTTGTAGTTTAATGTTCCCTTTGAAATTGGTGTCAAGATAACAGAAGAGGAGTATCAAGAATATGGACAAGCACTGGAGAAGATGCTAGGAGACATGCTTGAAGAGAACACTAAAGGTACTGCCAACCAAGCCATAAAAGCATAGCTCTTAAACCAAAACACAACCTGAACAAACCACCAAACAAAACCACTAACACCATAAACCAAACAATTTTTGTCACCTAATTTGTCATGCAAGACATTCAGAGCAGCATTTCACAAGTGGTTGGGACTAAGTTAAGACTAACAGAACCACTAAAGTTTCTGATGTTCAGAAACTGGTAGTCGAACTCTGAAGAATCACATTAAAGCATACTAGGCAGAAGGGGAAGGCTTCCTCTCCTCAGACTAAGAGTCTTTTTTCCCCTCCTTGCCCTCACATCCCAGCGTTTTCCTGTTTTCTCAGCTAAGACCTTCCCAACTTTCATGGTGAAAAGTATTAAAAACATTATTGTAACTAAGACAGTTCTAGCAGATTCACTGATAACTAAAGTTCTAATAACCAACTCCCACCACATGCTGTCTGGTTTTTACCTTTACAGCCAGTCATACTTTATTTGCACTCGCCCGTGTTAAGCTGATCTTTATGAATCTTCTGTTTTAATGTTTATGTCAGCCTTAATGTCTACATTACACATTCCAGCTACAAATGATTTCATGCTTCTGCTTTCACCCTGCTTTCAAGACTCCCAAGACTTCCCCCAATCTCCTCTCGGTTTTCCTCTGAATTCCTTCTGCAGAGCTACTTCTATGGCCATTACACAAATAAGACAGGCTCATGCATATGTGCCCTTGTAGACTGTAACTACGTGAAAGCCACCTTATCTTCTGCCTTCGGCTGAGCACTTGTAGAAGCACTTTTAGGCAGATTATCAAAACAGGATTTTCAGAAAAATATTAAGACTATCAAAACAATCTTTATCTTTTGTCTTTTTAGAAACTCAGATGGAAAACTGAGGCAAGATGAAGGACAAAGACAACATTAGATGGCCTGATTTTTTTTTAAATTTTACTTTAAAATGAAATTATTACTGATTTCACAATTCTAAAGAAGAAAGAAGTATGTGAACCTGAACAGTTTGCCCTGACAGACATTGGAACAGATTATTATTTTGGGGTCTAGGTCTTGTATTCTTCCTAAAAAGATAACGGCCAGGGTTAAATCACAGGCTGATGTGTAGGCTTATTTTATCTCTTTTCATTGGTAAATATAGTGATTGAAGGCATATGAATCTGTTCTAAAACTGGTGGAAACCTCTTCTTACACTTCTGTACACATCTATAACAGACAATAAAGCTTATGCTGAAACTGCAATTACTCGTGGGCTTGGGTTTTGTTTGTTTGTTTAAGAGTAGCTCCAACTAGATAGTTCATGTAATAAACTACACAAACTAGATGGACAAAGAGTCAGCTTTCAGTGCCAAACTAGTTTAATTGCCAAGGAATTTGTTAATATGGGTCTTACCAAGGAAACCATCTAACGCCTCTCCCAGTTTTAAAAAAAAAAAAAAAAAAAAAAAAAAAATCAAGTTTCCAGTTAGCTTGCTTGGATTCCAAACCACATCCATACTGGTGCATACATCAGAGGTACAAGGTAATTTTTCATGTCTTCAAATGCATAAACCAGTATGCTCCAATGTAACAGATGTTCTTTTCTGTACCTCAGCCCAGATGGATGTTTGATAATCCATGAATATTTTATATCATTTCCTCCTGAAGACATTCTATAAAGTACTCTTTAACAGGCTAATGTGATAAATGTAAACACAACCACAATTTTTATTAGACATGTTCTCTTTTCCTGTCACAGAATTAATCACCTAAATGAAGTGATCTCTTTGATGCCACTAGCACCCTCTTGTGCTATACTCTGCCAGAAGGCAAATGAGAATTAGAGGCAAAGAGGGAAGTGGATTAAAAAGGAATAAACAATTCTAGACTAAACCAAGACTAGCCCAGGGTAAGGATACGGACATGTACTTTTTGAAAAATGCAGAATTGTTATGGAAGGGAAGAGTCAGAAAGAACACTGAAGTTGCATTTACTACGCTGAATTCTAATCATCCACAAGAGATCTACTGCTTGTTGGTTTTATACTTAATGTTTTCCAAGCATATTCCATGGAAACAGTCAGCCAATAAGCTGCCCAACAGTACAGGAAGGAAACTGTCAGCCAGAGATACTGCATAAATCCTTTCTTAAAATAAGAAGCACTGTAATCTGGATGGCTGTTTCTAGAATTCCAACAGAGTTGTGCAGAATACAGTCTACTCACCGAGAAGAAAAAATATGGCTAAGCTAGTCTACCAACTAAAAACCGAGGCACAGGCTATTATGCTGTGTTGCTTATCCAGCTTACCGAGCAGAACATTCTAAGGTTGTCTTAAAAAATTGTTTCCTGGTGATCTAGAGAAAAAACTTTGGACCTATAACCGCGTGCAGCATTTTCTCGTTTGCAAATAAGACATCAACCTCAAGAGGGCAGCATAACCTAGTAGTGCACAACAATCATCAGGACAAAACAGGTCCTGGGTGTTTTCTAAGCTGCCTAGGAGAAACTGATGCTCCCTATTTTCTTCCAAGTATTCTGCTCAGAGAGGTTTGTTGGGGGTTTTTTTGGTAAAGTGTCTCTTGCTTTGGAGGCAGAGGAATAAGTAAGCAAAGCAGTGATTCCACAGAAGTGATTCAGGAATGATTCTACCCTGTAGCTGCCAGTAGAGCAATGCCTGAAGAGCAAAGCAGTGGACTAGCATGATTGCAACTTGACTGCATCCACAACTTCTCTGGGCAACCTGCTGCAGTGTTGCGCTACCCCCATCATAAAAAAATTCTTCCCTGTGTCTAATGTAAGTCTATCCTCTTTTAATTTAAAGCTATTATTACCCTGTGTCCTATCACCACATCCACAGAAGGCAGTTAGCACCTGACTCCCCATTCCAACAGTCTAATATATTAAAGGATCCTTGCATACTAAGGCAGAAGTGATTTAGTTCAGTATTTCTGGTGTATAATTATTTGTCCATCTTTAGACTTCCCTTAAAAGTATGTGTACATGATGGAATACATGCCGTTTTCAATGCAAAACTCATTCTTAAGTACCAACTATTCGGGAGACTTTTTTCAATTAAAACTCTATACTAAATTTTAGTTGATCTAGCTTCTTTTTACATTTGACTTGCAAACCAAGTGGAAAAAAGAACAAAAATTTCAATAAAGTACTTTCAAGAACAGTAAGTCGCATAATTATCAGAATTAGCTGGCACACAAATACTTGGGTTGGCATCAGTGAACTAATCTAACATCAATCACTGAAAAATTCCTAAAATTCTTCTTTTTGCTCGTATCGACAAGAGTTAAAAAGAAAAAAAGGCAACCTCAGCTCTCACTGTGATCATGCTGCTCAGGAAGTGCTCATGTGGTACAATTTGCACTGGCACAGAAAAATAAAATATCCTATGTTATTCCTACAACACCTGCTCTAGGATTTTTCCAAACTAACTATGCAATCTATTTGCAAAAATAAGCAAGATCTCTACCCTCTGACACAGTACAGTT